AAATATTAATAATAATTAAAGTTTAAATTATGATTATATTATACTATAATTTTTAATTTTTTACCCTCAAATTATATCCGTTTTAATAAAAAAACAATGGAATAAAGAAACTTTTTTGTATTATTTGTTTTATATACAAAAATAATAAAAAATATAAATTATCCAGTCGGTGGTGGCTTAATGATCGCCCACTTGTTTGCATGGACTAAACCAGCATGTTCTGAATCCAATCCAAGATTTACTTCCCTTTCTCAGTTCAATTCCGCAATATTAAAATATATATAAAAAAAAAAACAAAAGATAGACTACAATAGAAGACTACGTGGTATTTGAGGATTTTTTTTTTTTTTGGTTGATTATTTATGGTTGAGTTTTTATTCTGAGATTTACACCGAGACAACTGAAACCGCCTTTTTTGACTGCAATCTGATACATGATGGAAAACCATGACCCACCATTTGATTAAAGAGCTGCCCCAATCATTCTGCGGTGCCTTCAGACTGGATCCTATTATACAACCGATACAGCAGCATAGACTTGGACATATTAGGATCCCTCTCCAGAACTGCGATCACATCCTTAATAGAAATGGTACGAGCACACCCAGTTTGAGGCGAGGCAACTTGGTTCCTTCCTGATGTTCTGGCGGTTCCTGTTCGAAGAAAGGTAAAATAAACAAAGTAAATGCAACAGGAAAACATCTTAAAAAGCATAAGCATTCTTCAATCAATATCAGCATCAGATGTACAAAATCTAATGCAAAATACTTTTGTTGTGCTAGATTTATGTCAACAAATTATTTTGAATTAGTCACAGCAACTTTAGATAAACTACCCTTGTTACTCATCCTAATAGTTAGCATAAATTTGATAATAAAAGACGAACATATGCGGACTATTCATCTCTGAAAATCAAAAACTGAATTCCCTAATGCTTGCAATAGCATTTGCAGGTACCTATTAACCTATTACCACTAGCTTTATAGCCATTGCATACGAAGGTGTCAAATAAATCAAAATCATCAGGTTAAACGTATCTTGACATCTATATATATCATCAACATAAAGCAACTGATGCCAAAATTGCTCAATTGCACTTGTACAGCACTAATTATCCAGGTTTTATATGATGTAATAACCTGAATACTATGTTAACAAGGCAAACACATACACACAAAAAAAAAAAAAAAAATTCAAATACTTGCCAAACTATGTATCAAACTTACCAAGGTTACTTAGAGGGCTCTCCTGTGCCTCTTGATTGTCTCTTTCAGGTGTTAATAGAGGCTTGTAGTTCATATCCTTGTCAGCTTGAGAACCAGATGTCATAACCATCACTCCTTCATGTTTCTGACTGGCTTGCTCAGCCATAAGTCGCCATTTTGACAGCATATCATCTCCACCAACAGCAGCTCGTACAGCAGCATTTGCGGCAGAAATCTTCATCTCGTTTTCATCTTTCATGGTTACCTGAACAAAAATCAAGGAGTTAAACCTTTTTTTGAACAAAAATCAACAGCACTTACATGAATATCTTCTGTCTCCTTATCAACATTACTTGTAGTATCAACCTCAGACTCACCAAGAATTTAAAACAGAAAGTCTATTACAGAATGCAGTTACGCTACCATAAAACAAGCATGCATACTTGAGTTTTTGTGTGCATTAAGGATGATAATATCATAAATTACAAAATTAAACTCACCTCATCAAATTTTGGGAGCTTCTCCACTTCAGCCTGCTTTCTTTCCTTCTCTTCCCTAGCGTTCTTGTGAATTGTTGCAATTTGTTGCTGAACATCTGAGGTGATAAGAGTCTGGTGCCTAGCCTTCTCAGCATCAACTCGCTACAAAGATCAATTCAATATGAGAAAGAAGTATAACAAGAATTGAAGTCAATGTAGAAAACAAAACTAACCTGTTTTGACAGTCTGATTAAATTGCAAACTAATCCACGCAGTCTTTCCTCCACACACTAAAGATACAATTACATGAGAAACCAAATAAATATAAAGACATTATTTGAATGACTAGCTTCTCACCAAGGAAAGGCATTGCTCCACGTCATTGCTTATACCCTTCAAACCACATTTGGCTGCTGTCAGACAGAGAAAAATGGATAACAAGCAACATGTTAGTCTTTTACTGTAAAGCAGAATATACATGTATCAAATTGCAAAACCTTAGTAAAGGAGAGTATAAAAAGTATAACTAATTGCCGCTAATTTCTTCTGCAAGGGAGTTCTCTGCAGAACAAGCCTTTCTTCCTCTTGGACAACCCTGTTAGATGCTTCTGAAACTTGACTGTTCCCTGTAGAGCCAGAAAATAATTGTTCCTCCTCTTCCTATTCAAGAGAGGAACATCAGAAGTATATTGAGTGTCTTGTTTAGATAGATGGGATGGAATTGCTTATTTAACTAGTTAGAAACACTTCCAATACACAAAATGAATGAGAAAAAAAAAAATCCATACCCTAAGATCAATCCCAGTAACAGCAGTGACGTCATTGAGTCCTTCAATGCTTTCATCCAAAAAACTATCAGATACTTTTTGTTTCTTACGGTTAAAAATAGCATTAATTATGTGAGAAATCACGTGTCTATGATGTTTCCTAAGGTCAACAGGAAAGATGAACAATATAATTCTGAATCAACGAATCTATAATCATTATCAGGCAATCAACAAGGAAAAATGTTATTCAACCTTGAAAGAGGTGGCGATGAGCCAGGGGTCTGTAGTGGTTTCTTCCGTCCAACAGAAGGCTTTTTGGGAGAGATGCTTACATTAGCCACCGCTCGAGAGCTCAACTGACAAATGTAAAATAAAATCAGATCTAATCAAGTAGAGAAATTAAAAGAACTTATGGATTTCCAACAGAACTGTCACGAATCAGCACAGTTCTTATATCATATTTCAGATCAACCTGAATACCTGATTCTTGCAGGCCTAGCAATAACAAATTCCGAGTGGTAACTTGAAAAGAATTCATGGATTTGAAGCAGCAATGTAACGGTGCTGTTGCCTAGAGTATCTAGATTCAAAAACCCTAAATGCCAAAACTCGCCAACATCCTATGAAAATTTAATCAAATACTCCTTGATGAACACCATATAAATCATATAGCAAAGAACAAAGCATCACTCCAAGAACATATATACTCTCATATCATTTAAGAATACTTACTGAAAGAATCGCGACAAACATAGGGAACCGCATTCCAGGACATTGCTAAAAAGGAACAAGAGAAAGATTACCGGAACGTCGGGGTGAACCATTGTCAGCGGCGAAGGAGAAACTGAATTGTGAACCAGCACTGCTAGGTATAGAAAAGGAAATTCGAGAGAACTTCTTTTGTCTTGGCTTATCCCTCGGGGTTGATGGATCTGTTAATTGCAAATTTACCAAAACTGGAAATCAAGAAATGGTGATCGTCGGGCACCGTCGCCGGAGCTCATGGTGCTTGGGTGATTCAACCATAAAAATCTTTTAGTTAAAAGGAAAATCTAGAATACCTGGGAGGAGACGGACGGGCGGGGGGGCTGGGGGAAACCGGCGGCGTCGCGTAAATCGGAAACGGAAGGAAAAACAGAGTCGGGGGTCAGTTAAAAAGACACAGTTGTAGTTGCCGCCAAAATCTGGTAAGGTCTTGTTCTCATTGCGAGTTTGCAACGCCAATCAAAAGGAATGTTGGGCTGGGCTTTGCCCCTCCTTAGTATTAAGAAAAAGGAAAAGGAGCTCTAGGGCCCATTTTGAGTTTGGGCCAAGATACAACTTACTTATTTTCCCCTCTTCTTTTCCATTTTCCTTTTTCTTTTTCTTTTTCTTTTTTTTAATGAAAATGCTAAATTACAACGTACAGTGATATTCCAACATGACGTGCATTATATAATTAGTTCTTTTATTTGAGGATTCACTTGATACCACGTTATATTTATTTAATATTATGTTATGATTATAAGTTTATAATTTTACTTGACATTATAATTACAGCACTGTCAATTTTTCTTTTTTCCTTTTTCTTATTTCTTATTACTTGAATGTCTGAGGTTAAATAAAAGAAATGTGCTATTAGGATGACTTGAAAAATATATTAATCTTAAGATATACACAAATTGGACTAATAACTCCTCAAACCATCCAAAAGAAATAATAATAATAATATCAAAAGTAGTAGAGAGGATTTGCACCAATTACCTGTTGATTTAAGTGGAAGTAATTTGGTTTTCCTTAAATAAAATATCGAATTTGAGTTTTGTGAATATAGAAATAAGTACTGGAAGAGTTTTTCCTTAATGTGATTCGACTCGATTTCAAATTAGTTGGGATCCAGTACGATTATCGGATATTCTGGAGGTTAGTAAAAAAAAAGATTAAAACATCATTTTAGTCCCTAAACTATTGTATGAGCCTTCGATTTGGTCCTTAAACTCAAAAAAATCCTTGATTTGATCCTTACTGTTTACCATTTTTATCTTAGTTTGGTCATTTCGTTAAAAATCCACCCACGTGTCTGTTGACTAATAGATCCTAATGTACACGTCAAAACCTTCTATCCACATGGAAAGCCAACTAGCAAAAAAAAATAATGATTTAACAATAAAAATTTTAAAAATTCTTTCTCCTTCATCTTTCCCTTTCTCTTTCCTCTTCCTTTGCTCACCTTCTTCATCAATTAGTTCATCATCATCAAACAACACCCACAAAAACATAGAATTTTTTTTTTTGTCGATGAACCCAGTGTCGAGTTCGAATTCTTCTTCATCAATCAGTTTATCATAATCATCAAACAACACCCTCACCAAATAACATCCACAAAAACACAAAAAGTTTTTTTTTTTTTTTTTTTTTTTTGCAAAAGAACCCAGTGCCTAGGTTCGACAAACTCAGCGCTGGGTTCATCGGGTTCCAAAGAACCCAAAGCCTGGGTTCGATCGAACCCAGGGCTTGGGTTCGTTCGAACCGAGGGCTTGGGTTCGTTCGAACCCAAAGTCGGGTTGTAAGGAACCCAGGCTCTAAGTTCCAAGGAACCCCGAGCTTGGGTTTGATGAACCTAACATCAGGTTCCAAGGAATCCAACGCCTAGGTTTGTCCAAACCCAAAGTTGGGTTCCAAGTGGGTTCGTCCGAACCCAGAGTCGGGTTCCAAGCAACCCCTAGCCTGGGTTCAATGAACCCAACACCTAGGTTCCAAGGAACCCAGGTGTTGGGTTTGATCAAACCTCTGGGTTCCAGACCCTAAGGGGAAAGAAAAAGGAAGAATAAGAAAAAAAAAAAAAGAAAGAGAAAGAATTTTTTAAGTTTTTTGTTATATTATTATTTGTTTCCATGTCATTATTTTTTGCCATGTTGTCTTCTACGTAAGATAATATTTTGACATGTCATCATTTTACTGTAATTAATGGTACACGTCATGCAATTTTTAATGGAAGAACCAACTCCGGTAAAAATGGCAAACAGTAGGGACTACTAAATCAAGGATTTTTTAAGTTTATGGACCAAATCGAGAGTCCGTATAATAGTTTAGGGACCAAAATGGAGTTTTAACCTTAAAAAAATAAAAGTAGGGAGGATTTGCCTCCCTATTGCCATCCCTGTAGTAGACTCATTTATTAGTGGAGGTATGTGGAGTGAGGAGTGTGGGGTGTTGGAGAAAATTATCTGGGGCCTGACATGGACTTGTTAGGACCAGAGAGTGCTCCACTTCTTGGTTCAGTTCTGAGAATGGACTCGGACGTTCCAAAGATTTGAACTTTTATTAAGTGATAAAGCTCCCATGGACCAGAACAGAGGATGCTGACGGCCACTTAATAAAGCAGGAAATGCCCTTGCAGACCAATTAATTCAACACTGATGGCTGCAACTAGAGAAAACGATACCTTACCACTACACATATTTTTTGGAGTTTATATCTTGGGAAGAGAGATCCATTTCCAATCAAAATCATGAAAATTAAATGCTATGACGTACTTATCCTGCTTGTTCACTAGGTCCCCAAATTTTCATAATCCTATTTCCACGTATCATTCACCTTCCGTCAGAAAGCTTCTGCTCTGTACCTAATAAGTTTGGTTGGAAAGGAAGGCAATAGCAAAGTGGAAGAAATATTCACGAAATGAAGAAATCATTCATAACAAAATTGCTCTTATTTTTGCCTGCTTTTGGGCAAATTTGGAGCAATGATTACATTTATGACTAGATAATTCACAATTACAACACATTTAGCTTCCACCAAACACAACAAATAGTGATGGATATGAATTAGATAGGGAAGGAGGAGGGCGCACCAGCAAACAACCTCTCATCCAACACCCTAGTGAAAGCAACCCAGAGAGATGAAACTACAACAAACAAACAAAAATATACATGAGAAAAATAGATCATTGAGATCATACTGGTAATGTGGTTAGTCAAAGCTAGATGAGCGGCTCCATCTGCCTTGCAGGTAGTCCTCTAATGATACCGATTGCTCAATGCTGCTAATGGAGAGTGAATCATCCTCTACGTCAAGCAGTGCTAGGTTAAGATGGGATTGGAGATTAGACCGCGGGCAAGATTCATCATCCAGCATGTCAGATTCTTCTGAGGTATTAACTTGCAGCCTTGCCCACTTAGTTACATCAATATCTCCTTGAAGTAGCTTCACAACCTTTGGTTAACCAGGACAAAAACAAAATTAATTATCAAGTTTTAAAGGGAAAAGGCTAAATGATGCAAAAGCAACCCATTCCAACAAGAGGATCTTGAATGCTGCCAAGGTACTACTACTACCATAGTAAATGCTGTTTGATGTAGGATAGAGGAAGGGATGCATAATTCAAGGTTCCCTCTTATAGAGGTAGAAGATTAGAAAGATCAAAGATAACTTACGAGGTTCATTTGGGGCCTAGCTCGTGGAGCACGTCTAATACAGAGAGTGGCAGCTAAGACCATCCTCTCTATCTGGTCATGGTTGTAATCATCACCCAAGCTTGGATCTAATAATTGGGAAATCTTCCCTCCTGTTAAAATTGGTTTTGCCTGGAGGTGATTCATTTGCTTCTGTTAGAGACAACATCATGCAGTATCTTGGTACTGAAAAGTAGAATAAGTAAGAGGACCTACCCACATGACCAGGCTCTCTTGGCCTTTGGGATAGTCGTTTGCTATGGGCTTTCTTCCAGAAAGAAGCTCAAGCAGTACAACACCAAATGAGTAGACATCAATCTTGTCATTTATTTTGCCATACATGAAGTATTCAGGAGCCAAGTAGCTGCAGAAAGTTGTATCATTGGATAATTGATAGTTTCTAAGGGAAATTTCAATTATTTTCTAATACTATTTTCTAATTTCTAGTAATCTCATATAAAGTTTTCTTTTCATATGAACACAGAGTGGTCATGTAAGCCAGATCACTAAAAGTATAAATTACATACCCAAAAGTTCCCACAACATCCGTGCAAGTTATATGTGTCGCAGTGGGAGCTGCCCATTTAGCAAGTCCAAAATCAGAGAGCTGAGAAGACAAAGTAAAACACCGTGAACATTTCTGGCAGGAACTTCAAATTTGAAACAGAAGAGCAGTGGAAGTTGAAAGGAAAGCCACCTGTGGCTCAAAATCATCAGATAGCAGTATGTTTGATGATTTAACATCCCGGTGGATCACGGGTTGATCACTCGTACCATGGAGATAATCCAAAGCCTCAGCTACCCCAAGTGCCACCTTATATCTTTCATTCCAACCAAATGCATGAGGATCCTTCTTATAACCTAAATTAGCGAGCATCAGAAATAAATAAGAAAATTTAGAAACTAATTACTGAAATCAAACAGCAAAAGAATCCCTAATTCTCCTTGATCTCGAAATCAAGCATTATACATGGCTACTAACCATGAAGATTCTCTTCAAGGCTTCCTCTTGATAAGAAATCATAAACCAAGAGAAGATTGCTATCCTCATAGCAGAAACCCAGAAGGGAGATTATGTTCTTGTGATGCAATGTGGTAATAATCTCAATTTCCAGGACAAACTCCTTCAATACATTATCAGATGGCTTTAGGATCTTCACAGCAAGTTCCTTACCATCTGGAAGGCAACCCCTATACACCTGACTGCTGCCTCCTCTCCCGATCAAATTTTCTGGAAATTGCAAAGGAAGAAAATTTGTCCAGTTAAAACCTGGAAAGGGAACAAAACTACATTACTCTAAACATGAACTTAAGGAAGGATGCAAACCAGCCAAGAAATTGGACGTTGCTGAGGCAAGTTCTTGGTATTTAAATAATCTACAAGTTGCTGAATATTTATCATGAAGACCCTCCAATTCCTTTGGCAGGCTTCTTGAACTGTGGTCGAGTGAGGGTGGAGAGGTCAGAGCCTCAATGCCAACTGGAACCATAGCACCACTTTCTTCATCAACATTGGAAGACTTGTCTTCGCTCTGATCAAAACAATCATTTTTACTATCTGAATTGGAAAGGTACAAAGTACGCCTGGAGGGCAACCGCATCACCCACTGAACCACAGATATCTTCCTCAATGAAGACCGGTCAGGAACCTGTCTGTCTGACAAAACTGCACGACGAAGTAAGGGCCAACCAGGTCTAACTTCAGGCAACTGTCCGATCAGCATAGAAATTGAACTTGATGCTGCCTCCGCCTTCGGTACTGGTACTATAGCCATGGAATTGTCTCCACCAGTATCATCACCAGAAGACTCTTTTGCAGATTGGTCAGAAAAATTATCCGGCAACGCATTACCAGGTCCACAAATTGAGCAATTTTGTTTTGTAACAGCATTTATAGAATCTGAACGCACCTTGACTAAGGCCTGATCCACATTTTTGCCATCATTATTCAACTTTGTGGTTCCAAGGGCGTTTCCTTCACTTAGTACTTTAGAATTCTTGGTCAATGATATTGTCCTATGAATTGCATTAAGTAAACCATTCTTTCGATGATCCCCAGTTCCTGCAACAATTCAAAAGCCTAAAAATTTAACAAATCTGTTTGAATTTCACATATAAACAGAATATCAAGCCAAAAAACAACGCTATAAACCTTCTGAGCCAAAAGTACTAGCCACAGGGGAGACCCCTCTCTGGTACACTACTTTTCCATTATTAACTGCAAGAACACAGCAAGTCTTTGAGAGCTTCTTTGCGCAGTACTTAGCAACCGAGGTTGATGACCGGATTTTATGGTGCTTGGTGGCAGTTCCAACAATAACCTTTGTTGCAGAATAAGATGTGGCTTCTCTCACTAAGATTTTTGGAATTGATGAACCTCTGCTTATCTTAAGCTTGAGATCCACCTGCAGTTTTACCACCAACACCAACGTTTCAGTCTACTGTTTGGTACCAAAGAAATTACTAGAATGCAGAAAATTTCTTCAATCTTCATACACCTCAACTATTCAATCTAATAACTTTTAAACAAGCTTTTTGGGAACATTAAAACCAAATTTTCAATTCTCATTCTCCTTCATTTCCTAGAAACCAAACAGAAAGCAATCATCAGATTAACAAAACCCATTTAAAGATAGAGAATAACATAGCAAGAAAAGAAACCTGTTTCAAGTTGCAGAAACCTTCATAGACGGTAAGAACAGATTCAAACGCTTTTACAAGCGATAGAAGCGAAGACTTCCCATCTCGATCCACAATTTCTACACAGAAACACGAATTACCCACTTCACTAAACCGCCAAAAAAATCAAACCCAGAAATTAAAAACCTCAAACCCCACTCCCATCCAAAAAAGAGCAAATTTTTAACCCACCATTGTCGCTAAGAACATGAAGAGCAATCACAGAGTCACCAGGCTGCGCTACTTTAACCAAAGCCCATGTCAAGAGCTCCCTGCTCGGCGAGTCAAGCTTCACGCCGACCACCACCGTGCCTTCATCGGCGCATCCCCTTTCCTCTCCCCCAACGACACCGTTCATCAGCATTTTCATATTCCTCTGCCCGCCTCAATTACCGGTGAGCACTTTACAGTCTCGTTGCCGGAGATTTGGGATCATCATAGATTCCTAGGCTTATTATATACGCAGCGATTTTCAGTTTTAGTCCCAAGAGAGAAAAGGTGCACCTTTTACGAACAGTCAGATGGTTTGCTTCCGAAGTTCGCCAAGGAGGAACAGAAAGAGAAATGGAAGAGGAGGAAGAGTAGGAGGCTTGTTAGCATACGGCAAGGACTAGCTTAAACTATTTAAAAAGTAAAATGGACTATTTTTAATTTTTTTGGGACAACAGTGGACATTTTTAGAAAATGTGACCCGCTTGTCTACTAGGCCGTAGAACTTTAGGCCGTGTTTAGTTTAAGGAACTTGTGCGAAGAAATCTCAAGATTTAGCTTTAAATTTTTTTGTTTATGGGTTTAGTGTACTAGTTATTAATGAATTTTTAGTCAATTAAAAAAAACCTAAGGACAATAATTAAAAACTTAAGTTTTTATATTAAAAATTTTAAAAAAAATTATATCTTATGAAATAATTCGTTATCTAACATATAAAAAAATTAAGAAATAAAATAAGAGATGAAAATATATGACTTTGAAAAAAAAAATAAAGGAAAGAAAGGTAACCAAACAAAAGTTTTGAGGCTTCCATGGCGAAGATAGGATCTTAATTTTCAATTTTCAAGACCAAACTGTCATTTTCTTATCAAATATTAATCATCATTTTTTTTTTCTCCAATGCATTAATTTGAAAAATAATTAATCATCTTTTTTTTTCTCCAAAGCATTAATCTGAAAGTAATTAACTTAAGACACATGGGTTGTCTTTGTCCATTAATCAACCAACAAATCAATCCCTGTCTACAATTTTTGTTTCTATTAACGTGACCACGATCAAACATCAATGGAGATTATCCTTCCTCTATTACTTTTTAGTAGTCACTTTAGGTGTTTGTTAAAGAATAAAGAAATTATTAATAAGTCTTTATAATAGAGATATCTAAATTTAAAGTACTTTCTTCGTTTAAAATTGTAGACGTTTTTTTTATTTAGAACATAGTATCTTTTTATATTGTAAGGGAAAAGAATCTTTTTTATACTTTAATTTTATTATTATCACTTAATTACTTAATTATTTATTTTATCATAAAATAGTCTTTTTTATTTTTTTAAGATAAAATAAATAAAAATAAAAATTATTCATAAATCCTTAATATGAAAATAAAATTTTTTAAAAATTATTATTCTAAAATGAAAAAAGCATCAAGTTACCTTCTCTTATTTTAGATAATGGTATATTTAGTTTACTGGTATCAGTTGCCTCTAAAAAGGTAAAGTGAGTGTTTATTTTAAATATTAGAGAACATTATGTTCAAAAAAAAATATTAGAGAACATTATAAACCGATAGACTTAGTCAAATGTTTTATATATTATAAATTAAAAATAACAATGATTATTAGTTTAAA